TTTAAAAGCTATGGTATCAAAACACTGAATAACTAAGATTCTGAACAGTCCTTTGGGTTATACAATATGTATTAGTAATATACAGGTCTGCTTCACTCACTACTGAGAAACCCAGCAACTGTTTAATGACGCAATTGTTCAGGACAGAAAGTGAGGAATATCAAAATCAAATTGTAAAGAGATGTAGGCTTATACACTGGACTGCAGTGTGTCACCATTCAGAAGTTTCCATAACAGCTGAGAAGGTATTTGTTGTTCCTTGACAGCTGGATATGACAGCTGACGTTCCAAGATGACACTTGAAAAACAGTTGCAGCTTTATGACAGATGCCTTTTGGAAATAACAGTGGTGGTTCTGTTGGCAGTTGAGAATGAAAATTTCATGTCAACTGTGGTTTTATGGGAGATGGAAAAGATAGTTGTGGCTCTGATGCAGCAAGGAATGATATTTAGATGCTTGTAAAATTGAAATCTTACATGTTTAGAGTGACGCGTGAAGAGTTAAGTAAACAGGAGTCAACAAACCAAACTCTACAGCAAAATTCAGTCTTTTTTTGCATGTGGGATATCTGTGAGTTCATCACCATTTTCTTGAATGTGTTTACTATTTTGGGGTACAATTCCCAGCTCTGCCACAAAATTCCTGCATGACCCTGGACAGGTCATTTAATATTATCTGGCTGTAGTTCTCTAACTGCAAATAATACTTCCTTCTTTCATCGTTTGTCTCATGGATGAAATTCCCAATGATTATTTCCCTGAGAGTCCCCACCCTATTTGGGATTTGGGGCTTTAGCTCTGGAAGGGGGTGGAGGGAGGCACCATGACTCGGTACTTCAGTCCCACGGTCATGCCAGAGCTGAGGCCCGGGCAAATGCCACAGTGCTGAAGCCCTCACCCCTGGCTTATGTGGATTTGAAAATATTTACTTGAGTTCTGCTACAGTGGGCTCTGTCTAAATTTAAATCCTGCTTTCCCTGTGTTGTCTGTAAGCTCTCTGAGGCAGGCGCTACAGGATCTATATACATGAGCAATTATACCAGTATATTTATATCTGCATAGTTAAACTACTATAGGTATAACTCCCCTTATGGACACATGGGCTATGTCTACACTGGCAGGTTCTTGCGCAAGAACTGTTTTGCGCAAGAGTTCTTGTGCAAAAGGTCTTCCACAACAGCGCATCCACACTACCATGTGCTTTTGTGCATGAGCGTCCATGGCAGTATGGATGCTCTCTTGCGAAAGAAAGCTCTGATGGCCATTTTAGCCATAGGGCTTTCTTGCGCAAGAAATTCATGTTGCCTGTCTACACTGCCTTCCCGTGGAAGAGCTCTTGCGGAAGAGGGCTTATTCCTCATGGGAAGAGGAATAATTCTTCCGGAAGAAGCCCTGGTTTCTGAAGTTTACTTGTACTGTACTGTAAGTTTACTTGTGCAAGAACGCGCATGCAGTGTAGATTCTCTGCAAGTTTTTGCACAAGAACGTATGTTCTTGTGCAAAAAGCCTGCAGTGTAGTCATAGCCTCAAAGTCTAGAATAAGTGACTTTTCTGGTTTCAGTTAACTTCCTTCCAAAGTCATGTAAGTGTAATCCTTCTGCTGGGTAGGGCCGGCAGCAGCCAGGGCCGGGTTCAATATCTAGGGGTCCATCTCACATGGAACCGTCTTGAGCACCCACCCAGTAGCCTGGGAAATTCACACACCCCTGGGTGCCTCTGAGAGGCAATGCTTCCCCACTCGCAAGCACAGAGTCTGAGTGTGGAAAATAAAGTTTTAATGAAAGAGAGAGAGAAGTCACATGGCATTAACTTGGGAAAATACCACAAACAGAGTTCATAACTCCCCACAAGTAACCATCCCAGCTCCAAGGGATTGAGCAATGTCCTTTGCCCCTCAGGCTCACCAGTCCAACAATGTAAGGGTTCCATTCACTTATCCAAACTTTCTCCGTACCCCACTTCAAACGCCCCACTTACAGCTCTTGTCCTGTCAGTGCGGACCCCGACACATCACCCTGATGACTCCACTCATTGAGCCTGAGGCCATGACACTTTTGAGCTGCTCCTGTGGTCCACTTGCTCCACCTGCCACCACGCCTACTGGCCCACCAATCATTCCCACCAGCTGCCCCACTGGCTGCAATGGGTCTGGCTCCAGGCCAAACCAGTGACTTCAGCTCTTAATGAATTAAACTATTTAGCTACATTCTAGGCTGCATTCTCTGCAAGTTTTTGCGCAAGAACGTATGTTCTTGTGCAAAAAGCCTGCAGTGTAGTCATAGCCTCAAAGTCTAGAATAAGTGACTTTTCTGGTTTCAGTTAACTTCCTTCCAAAGTCATGTAAGTGTAATTCTTCTGCTGGGTAGGGCAGGCAGCAGCCAGGGCCGGGTTCAATATCTAGGGGTCCATCTCACATGGAACCGTCTTGAGCACCCACCCAGTAGCCTGGGAAATTCACACACCCCTGGGTGCCTCTGAGAGGCAATGCTTCCCCACTCGCAAGCACAGAGTCTGAGTGTGGAAAATAAAGTTTTAATGAAAGAGAGAGAGAAGTCACATGGCATTAACTTGGGAAAATACCACAAACAGAGTTCATAACTCCCCACAAGTAACCATCCCAGCTCCAAGGGATTGAGCAATGTCCTTTGCCCCTCAGGCTCACCAGTCCAACAATGTAAGGGTTCCATTCACTTATCCAAACTTTCTCCGTACCCCACTTCAAACGCCCCACTTACAGCTCTTGTTGAACCAGTCTTACAGCTCACATGTGGCAGGCATGAAGCCAGCTGGCTCAAACCCTTTCCCTCCACCCCCAACTCCATTAACTTGTTACCAGAAAAGGCCCACTAGTAAACAAAATATTAATGGGGCCTGCTCTGATCTGATGTTAAAGTGCCTTTGTCCCCAGAAGGAGGTCTGGCCTGGAAACCACCGTATCTGTCATTGGCGGATTATTCCTCAGCCCCGTTAAATAATCAAGGACACGTCAGATTTTAAATTTAAAATAAGGATGTATTGATATACAACAGGTAAGTAACAATAGCACAACATTGGGTCAATAACCCAGCCCCTCACCCTCTGAAAATAAAAGAGGACAGGAACGATATAACTGGCAACAGAATGTTATACTTAGTCCGTCAGAGGCAGCTGCTGTTCAGGGCCTTCAACACTTTAGCTAAGGTAGGTGTCAGGGGAGGAGCACTGAGGCATCCTTGGTGAAGTAGGGAGACGCTCGATGTGATGTTAGTCTCTGCTTGCATGGCTGACAAATGCGCGGTTTGTGAGATGCAACCAAAGAGCGATTCTAAACACCATGAGGGCCTTCACCACAGCTGGTGCCAGAGGCTTTATTCGGTCCTGATGATTTAGGGTAGGATATCAGGTAGCTAGGGCTCACGATGCTGGGCTATCGCCATAGCATGGGCCGAAGCACTCTGAGGGCGGCAGGAGTAAAATCAGGTAGATTAGACTGGGCCTTCACTACGGTCTCCTATGTGACACAACTCCTTCTTCTCCAAGGTGTAGTGAGAAAACTGCCGACCCGATCTCCTCAGAATTCTAGATTTTATAGAGTTCAAGGCGGAAAAACTCCAATGGTCTCTAGTGCAATGCAGGGCGTGGTGCTGGGTGCAAACTAGAGCTGGGTGCAGACTTCCGTGCTGGGTGCAGCCTTGTGGTGCAGTGTGCACGGCCATGTGCCATGTGCAGATAGTGATTTTTGTCGGGGACTCGAACCTAGACGGCCTCTGTTCGTTGTCTGACCGCAAAGAGACAGGCAACACCAGCAAGATCCAATCACAAGCTCTTTATTGAATAGTGCGCACTTACAATAGAGAGCGGCCCGTCTCCAAAGAGAACCAGCCACGATTTCATTAACAGGTAGGCTTATATAGACAGTTCCGTCGCGTCATAGACTATTTGCCCAAGCAACCCACCCTCCTTTATCGGTTAGAAACTTTTAGTATCCATGCACACCTGGCCAACTATACATCATGGCCTTAAGCAATTCATAATGCATCAGCAATTTCTTATCAGCCCAAAAGACAGGTACTGGGCAACAAGGAGACAGTTTGTTATGGCTAAAGGAGAACATAAACAGGGAGTTTGGAACAAACAGGGGGAGGGCAGAAACAGGGAGTCTCCTTAGCAGTTCTCAAAACAAACTGTTCCTCATCACAGCAGGTATAAAAATGCAGCTTCTTACTGATCTCATTTTGCAACTTGAGCAAGCGTGTAGGGTGCACCCCTGCTTGAACCTATCTCCAGTTCTGTCCAGGGACTACCCAGAAACCTTTGTTACATCTGCTTTAGCATAACTGCACTAGGCCTAATTTTCTAGGGCCTAACACCAGGATACTCGGACACGCTGTGGCTGGGTGACAGTTGGGGGGGGAGGAGCCCATGGCAGCCGGGATACTCGGAAATCCAGCCATTGAGTGACAGCTGAGGGAAGGAGGAAGGTCCATGGCAGCTCGGACCGACGGACTCTCTGCGGCTCGGTGCCAGCTGGGACTCGGAGGCCGTTGGAAATGGCAGTAGGGCCTAACACCAGGATACTCGGACACGCTGTGGCTGGGTGACAGTTGGGGGGGGAGGAGCCCATGGCAGCCGGGATACTCGGAAATCCAGCCATTGAGTGACAGCTGAGGGAAGGAGGAAGGTCCATGGCAGCTCGGACCGACGGACTCTCTGCGGCTCGGTGCCAGCTGGGACTCGGAGGCCGTTGGAAATGGCAGTTGGGCTTCAGGGAGCCCGCGGCTCTGACAGCGACGCCAGGAGACGCCTCTTCGGGTCGCCC